AGGGAAAAACTTTTTTAATAGTTAGACATGCTCATGTGCATTTGTGCACATGCGTGTGCGTACACACACATGCACGTGCAAGCCTGGATGGCACTATGCTATGGCTAGAAGGACAGATTGAAAAATTTTCAGGATTTAACTTCAATAAATTCCAGAAACGTCAACAACAGCCTTGACCCAAAGTGCGAGATCTAAAAGCAGGTCATTGAGCTCAATGACAGCATATTAGACCAAAGCCCACTATATGGAGGGGGAAATGCAGTGCGTGATGTCATGAAATGAATTCAAACAATATTTAAACTTAGGTTGTACTATTGAAAAAGCTAAAAATGTAGAAACTATTGAGACCCCACAATTTGTGACAGTTATTATTTAATCCAGGAGATTAATGTTATAAACTGACTTTGCCAAACACACAGGCCCTGTTGTCGTGGGGGAAATAGAACAAAGAGACACAGTCTTCCTTTTCGATTTGCTCCAATCTGGCAGGAAATAATGGCACTAACAATAGTATAATAGTAACGCAGCAAGTATGTGTGGTTACTCTGTGTTAAATCACTGTTTCAGATGCCTTCAATGTATCAATAATATCCTGCAACACTTTGAGGTTGGTGAGGTAGGCAGGTAGATAGGCTGGTCCCTAAAAGTGAAGATGCCATACAGTAGGAGGCCCTATTGCTCTTAGAGACCAAAGAACTTGTTCCGCAGAAAGGGAACATGTGGTGGAAGGACCTGGCCTTGGGGTCACATCATCTGTCTGGCGCCAGCACACATACATGTGTTTTGGACTTTCACTGACTGCTCTGTGATTTAGTTTTTGCATTAATTAATGATACCAGTCTTGCACATTTTTAAATGCACATTAAAGTGTGTACAGCTCTGTGTTTGTACAGCTATCAGTGTGAGTTTTGTTCCGAGGTAAGGGGTTACCGGAACACTCAGAGATTTCAATAGGAAACGGTAGAAGTCATGTGAGGAAGAAGTGAACTGGCAGATACAAAGCATGCTGTTCATTGCAGGAAGGGGCCACTTCATCTAGGGAGAGAAGCTGACTATTTTGCTCTCCTTAGATCAGAGCTTGGTAAACAACTCCCTGCCTATTTTTGTAACAGCTGAAGAGCTCAGGATGGTTTTCCATTTTTAAATGATTGAAGCAAATCAAAGGAAGAATATTGTGTGACACATGACAGTTGCATAGAATTCATATTTCAGTGCCTGCAAATACAGTGATGGGCACAAGGCCACCTGAATTCATTGACATGTGGCAGAATTCATCCGTGGGGCCTACAGAGCCTATTTACTGTCTGGTCCTGACAGGAAAAGGTGGCCAACCCCTGCCTTGGTGGCAATGTTTAGGTTTTTAAATCCTAAAGTTCATCATCCTTGGATGGCAATTAATTTACAGAACTGAATTTTGTGGTTGGGGGAAGACTCTGCCGAACCAGCTGCCTCTCTCTCCCGGTGTCTGACATAGGTGACTTGGCAGGTGCAAGGGCAGCTTCCAGAGACGTAGGATGCTCTGTGGGGATGCAGTCTGGTCCACGTGCCTCTCACCGATTACACGTTCTCAGTTCCCCTACATATTGCTTGTTATTGTGGACAACAGCGTGAATGGTGTTTTGGTTACGTTTCCAGTTACACCAAGTCTCCCATGAAATGTAGGTTCGAAATCGAATAGGACCTGTTTGGATATTACCTGTGGCTCCTTTTCTTTTGTCTTTCCTCGATTGTCACTTTAACCCCCACCCCCAAGTATATAACCCTGCTCATGAAATCTTAAGAGTTATGAAATGCATTGCTTATATAAAAATCAATAAGACAAACAGGAGTTAACGTTTTATTGCATACGATTTGTCTTCAATTAGTTGAACGGTCCCATCCATCAACCACACCCCTCTTTGAACACTAGCTGTCTGGCTGATTCTGATTTGCTCTGGAGATCACTTTGTGCAGTAATTCCTTTGTCTGGAATTTTGATTCATAGCCCTTCATATGAATTCTTTTATTGCCCTATCTTCAGAATAGCTTTTAGGCAGCCAATCCTCATGCAGGGTACTGTGATTCTTGATGATTTAGTGGCATCCAGATGTCTGCACCTCATGTTGTTGCCTTTTAGACACATTAAAAAAAAAGGTTGCTTTAAAATAATTGCATTCATTTGTGCAGTAAACTTGAAATGATTCTGTCATAAGTCAGTCAGACTTTTATGGGAATATTGAAATACCTGGTATGTCTTTTGGTAAGCCTGGATGACTACCTTAAAAGTTAGGGTGGTTTTCAATTACTTTAAAAGGAGATGGTCACCAGGATTTAAAACACACACACACACACACACACACACACACACACAGACACACACACACAATGTGTGAAAGTGAGATTTCTCATATAATTTGTTAGTTGTATAAATAGTATAAGAACACACTGAATAGGCTAATACCCAAGCTGTTTGCATGTTTAGAGTTTCTAAGTAAATGTATTTGGGTAAATAAGAATGTTTTGTTTTACTCTTAGCAGCACCCAAATTAAATACTAGATTCTGTGTGTAGACCCAAGAACACTTGAATGATGACGTGAATGATGAGGTCAGGCTTCCTGCAGAAGGATTTCCATCAAATTACCTGGTGCCTTTTAAATCCCCCTGTTTGTGTCTCATCTTGGCTCTGCTGAATCAGCTCTTGGAAGGGGCCAGGCATGTGTTAGGAGGTTCCCCTAGGTCAGTGGTTCTCAACCTTCCTAATGCCACGACCCTTTAATGCAGTTCCTCATGTTGTGGTGACCCCCAACCGTAAAATTATTTTCGTTGCTACTTCATAACTGTAATTTTGCTACTGTTATGTCTTTGGCAACCCCTGTGAAAGGGTCGCGACCCACAGGTCGTGGCCCTAGGTGGTACTGATTCTCACCTTTGGTTGAGAACCACTGGGTTCAAAGTACTTTCCAATAATAGACAAAAAGGCAGCCCTATAAACATATCACTGAATCCATTAATATGCTGGTGTTTAGGGTGCTGTGTACCATTTTGTATGAAATGCCAGTTAAGAATTAAGCACTTTTCCACAGTAATTCTGTGAAGTTATCTGTGGTCCAGAAAACAATATACCTCCTTGTTTCTTCCACTTCAGCCGTAGGATTCTCTTGAACAAAGAATAATTCAGTTGTAAGGCTTCTGTGGCCGGGATGTCTGCATTCTAGTTTTTTTCCAATTAAGAATTTATTGAGCCACTTCTAGGTCCCAGCTCCATAACAGGCACTGAGGATGCTAATAACAAACAAAACAGCCTGAAGCTTCCAGTCGACTGGACGAGCCAGACGTTAAGCAAATAACTATTTCAGTACGTGCCTCCTGGTTGAGATATTGTAAGCCTATTTTGAGTATGATTTATACATTTTCCCTCAGTATTAATCAGAGATGAATCATTGCATTTTTCTATGTGCTATTTATGTGCCAGCACACACACAGTGTGTAAATTTATATGCTACATATATATGGGTATATGTATGCATGTGTGTTGTATTTTAGATTAGTATATATATGTCGTGTATTTTGCATATGTATACGTAGTATTTGTGCATATACACACACACACACACACACACACACACACACACAGATATATGTACACCCTTTGTTATATTTCTATAACCACACTGTTTTATGTATTTTAGTGGGCGTCACACCCTTGTGGGGTGAGGTGGAATACATGCACACTGATGTGTGTGCACATACATGTGCTCAGAAGCATGGCTGACTTTGGACTTCAGATTACAACATTACGTTTTAGCCCATTTTCCTTAGTGCTTTTTTCCTTAAACACTGACAAGTAAATTATGCTGTATATTTGACAGTATTTCTTTCCATTTCTTTACTTTTTGAAGTTTTTGTTTCACATGTAAAGAGTATTTGGGGGCAGCTTTTCAGCGCTGGGACCGAGATGGAAAATCACACGGAGCTGTGACCCCGGGTATCCCTTGAAGAGAGGGGCCGTGTTGTAGTCATGGAAACTGCCGTGTTAGGATGTAATTATTTTTCTTCGCAGACCGTGGTTCACGGAGACATGTAATTCTCCTGACAACTTTCTAAACTACCATATGGTTTGACTCAGGTTACTGTTTTTGAGGGTAGTTTTAGCATTTTAATCCTCTTGAAAAGTCACAGAATAGAGATTGGAGAATAGACCTGGCAACCGTCTAATATAAATAAATAGAGAGCGTGTACCCTGCCGGAGGAGCGGCAGGGGCAGTCAGGGTGCTGCTCCGAGAAGAATCTGCGCTGTCGGCCGGGCCAGCCTCGCGCGTCGCTCTGCGCGGGGGCTGCACTTGGAGCCCCCCAGCCCGCAAGGTCACAGCGGAGTCCCCGAGGTCCACGCAAATGTCCTTTAAGTGAGAAATTCGAGCAAAAGTTACATTTCTCTTTCCTTTCAATGTGCCCCCATGGAGAGTGCAGTTGAATTGCATGGTTGAAGAACATTACGTGGATGTCCTGTTGGAAATGATTTTTTTTTTTTATCCTCACCCAGGACATTTTTCCATTTTTTGTTCAGATAGAGCAGGAGGGAGAGAGAGAGAGATACATCGACATGAAAGGGACACATCGAGTGGCTGCCACCCACACGACCAACCAGGTCCGGGGACAAACTGCACCAAGGTACGTGCCCTTAGTGGAACCGAACCGGGTCTCTCTGGACCGCAGGGCCATGCTCTAACCGCTGAGCCAAACGGCCAGGGCTGGAAACTATTTTTAAAGCTTATCTATTGTCTTTCAAACGACCCTCCGAAGCCCATCCGCCCACGCAGGACGCGCCCCCACGTGGGTCAGGTGGCTCGCCCGCTCCTTGCCCGGGTCAGGAAGCGGCAGGACTCGGGCCGGTCCCTACTTACTGCCTCTGCCGCGGGTGCATTTCTGCGCCGAGCCCCCTGTGCTCAGTGACGTTCATAAATGAAAAGGCTCCGCTTTACCGTCTATTGGTCATTTACTTTTCCCCATAACTTTCTCGCAGGACCTGGATTTTGAAGCCAAAACAAGCTACACGCTCCGGATAGAAGCAGCGAACAGAGACGCCGACCCCCGCTTCCTGAGCCTGGGGCCGTTCAGCGACACGACCACCGTGAAGATCATCGTGGAGGACGTGGACGAGCCCCCCGTGTTTTCCTCCCCCTTGTACCCCATGGAGGTGTCGGAAGCCACCCAGGTGGGGAATATCATCGGCACCGTGGCAGCGCACGACCCCGATTCTTCCAACAGCCCGGTGAGGTAAGGGCCTCGCTGTCCCCTCCCCGTGTCCCCAGGGCCGTGGGCAGGGTTCCAGGCCATGGGCACCCCCCTTCTGCCGGTTCTGCGCTGTTCCCGCGCACGCTGGGCTGGGGGTGATGTGAGTGTGTCCTAGCTACAGGGTCCTGCGTTTGGTAGGAACCCAATTTTCTACGCTGTTGAAATTAGGGAAGGATTAACATTTTTTTTTTAAATATGTTTTTATTGATGTTTAGAGAGAGAGGGAGGTAGAAACATTGATGAGAGGGAAACATCGATCAGCTGCCTCCTGCACGCCCCCTACGGGGTTTGAGCGTGAAACCCCGGCATGTGCCCTGACTGGGAATCGAAACAGTGAGCTCTTGGTGCATAGGTGGACGCTCAGCCACTGAGCCACACAGGCCAGGCTAGGAATGGATTTTCAAACAAATCCTTTTTTTCATATTTGTTTATTTGGATAGTATTTTTTTTTTTTTTTAGTTTATTTTTACTTACAAAAATAAAACACTACCTAATAGATGTATAAGGACTATTTTAAATGTCCTTTTCATTGTCCTGTACAGAGACTAGACACATTGTTATAATCAACTAATCTGTTTTGGACTAATAGAACTGAGTCTTCAAGCATTTCAAAGTATCACAATATTCCATTTCACACTTTTTGTCTATAAATTACAATGTGAAGTCTACATATGTTTTTGTGTATACATATGTATGTGTCACATATGATAAACTATGTCTTAAGTGAATATTATATATAGAACATACTTAAAGTTACACTATATTACACATCTTAATTTGGGATCATAAGTAAGACTTTTGATTGTGACTGTGAATTTGATTACACAGTCTATAAAGTAACAAACTCAGTGAATGTTTTATATTCAGATATGTTCAGCTTATAAGCACAGCCTTTTAGATTTAATCCATACATGATATTTCTAAGTGTTTCTGAGTTAAATTCTGAGCTAAGCCTGGACATTGACTACAAAGTATGATGAAAAATATCTGTAATTTAGATACTGATTTTTATTTAAGAAAAGCTCATAATTTGCATCTTTCTTAAACTATAAGCATATATATATATATGTTATATGTTATATGTGTGTGTGTGTGTGTGTGTGTGTGTGTGTATTTTCCCTTTTGCCTGGCATTAATATTTATTCTAGTAAACAATTGGTATAAAATAATGGTTATCCAAAACTGAACTCATAGTCATTGTTTCCCTGTCTAGATAAGAAATTCAGACTACTACTTAGATGGCGATATTATTTTAAATACAGTGATCATAAACCATTTTTGAGAATATAATGTTATAATTTTCTGCGCACTGGAATATTTGTGAGCCACGCATATACCAGACAGAATAACCCTTCCCCTCGGCCCCGTTGGGTCCCAGCCTTCACTGTCAAAGCAGCTCCCTGGCTTAAGCTCGGCTCCCTGCGCCAAGTCTTCCTGACTGACACGGGCTTGAATCTGGGTTTGTTGCAGCATCAGATCTCGTAGTGACACACTGAGTCTTTCTCCCTCACGAACCACCACCACCGCAGCACAATCGTAGGCATGATCAGCTGCTCGGGATAGTCTGGCTCCTGCTTAACTTCCTGCATCTCCTGGGGAAGAGACAACGCGTTCATGATGGGGACGTGGCGAAGAGCCGCTACTAGATACCATTCAGTACTTAAAACGAGAGGGTGTAAGGAAATTTTGATTTATTGCACTTGAATTTTTATCTTGTTATTTTTCCTTTACCTATTTTTGTGGGTATTATCCTGTTAGAGCCTTTCAGAGTATATATTACACTTTTTATACTGTTTCATTTGTAAAATATAGTATTATATAGTAATTTGCGGAGGAGGAAGAGTAGGCCCAAGTGGGCGGGGCCGAGTTGGCGATGAAGTGAGTGCCAGGCGTTTTCCCAGAAGCACAGAGAGGGAAGGGACAAGGGCTGACGCTCGTGAGCTGGAAGGGGAGCATCTCTGTGGCCCCGAGGGTAGAGAAGCTGGCCTGTACCGTATTTTACCTCATCTTAATGTTCTTAAACTAATAAGGTTGCCCCAAGGTTCAGGTTGGACCTAGCTTGTGTCTTTCCTAATCCCTAAATCTCTGAACTAGGGAGAGACAGACTTTGTTTAGAGTGACATGGACCTGTCACTGTTCGTGTGACTATGTCTTTTGCATTTGAAAAAGTAATTTATGGGCTTACATTGAATAACAGAATCCTTGAGACGTGAGTTTATGTGTATACGCTCAGCAAAGTCATTCGTAGCGTCCATTTTTCTGCACGTGTGTCCCCGTGTTTGTCCTTCCCTGTCCCTGCATGGCCGCCCCCCAGGCCGTCTGCTGTGTAGTTGGTGAGTGTGTGCACTCCTGCTCCCCTGGAGGGGACCGACCCCTCCGGCACTGCTCTGTGAGGGAGTAGGGAGCACCACTCAGCTACGCTCCCTGTGGCCCTTCTCGCGCTTTGTCGCGGGATTCTTGAGAAGTAAGTAAGGGATGGTAGTTGACGCTTTGGGAAGTAGTATCATCATGCATTGTGTTATTAGAGCTCACGACGGTTTCATGCCACTGTTATTTCAAAGTCTGTAGCATTGGCGAAAGGAGGCGTATTTTCCAGGCAACTCTATTGGCAGTCCGCATGCAAGCTGTTTTGTATGTGCATCTGCTCCGATCCATAGAACATATTACAGAGTGGGTTCGTGGACATACGCGTGGATTTGCATTGGGCACCCAAGTAGCTATCCAAATAGAAGCCCTCCTTCAGCAAGAGCCCGTGCGCGGGTACAGAGCACAGTCTTCCGAGGTCCTGGGGAGTGTTTTCCAGTGCGAGATGGAACTACTGGAAGAGTCGGAACAGTGATGACCTCTGTGCTCTTTGCCTCCAGAAAGTGTGTGGTTCCTGCAGGGGTGGGAACCTTTTTACGGCCAAGGGCCACTTGGATATTGATAAGGTCATTCACGAGCCATGAAAAGTATCAGCTTAAAACTTAGCCCGCTCTATTTGGTCAGGCTAATTTGGTGAGACGTGTGATGTGAGCTGGTATTGATTTCGAGGGCCAGATGTTCCCCACATCTTGAGGAATGGAGAGGCAGTATCGGTCTCATTGTAATTGCTTCACATTAGGCCAACATATTTGAATTGCAAGGCAGAAGGGAAGTTGGATAATTAGTGTTTGAACTTATTCACATTCTTTGTAGAAGAATACCGAAATTAGCACATGCCATTTATATTTGGAATCTTTCCTGATGTGCGAAGCGAGAGACTGGAATTCTAGAAAGAGATCTATTGACTTGCCTCCAGCACGGTAAAACTGAGCCCCTCTTCCCACATGATTCCCGCCTGGTCCAGAATTTTATACGTTTTACCGACTTCTGGCACCAGTCAAAAACTATTCATGAGTCTCCTCTCTGCATGCACCCTTTCCTAAAAAATAAATAAACCGCTGGGGTCCATCTTGTACCACGGAGCGTCCACATGGGTTAGAAGCATGGTAGTGATAGGTGGCAGATCAGAGCCCAGAGGTTGGCCAGGACAGAACTCCACGGTGAAATGTATGTCCCGTTACAACTTGCCCACTAGCCAGATGGGGTACCTCGCCTGCCATGTCATGTACACTTTGATTGCCTCTTTTCCCAGATGGAAACTAGAAGCCAAAGCTGAAAAGTATATGATCCCTGAGGTTACTTAGCCACAAAGAGAATAAGAAAAAAGGCATTTTGAAAGCAAAGTGGATAACGGGGAGGCAGCCTCTTCCTGGTTTTTTTCTTTTTCTTTCTTTCTTTTTTTTTTTTTATCCTTTTCAAATACTAGTTGCTTACCATTTTCTGTAAATGTTGGCCCTGAATACCAAATACGTATCAGGCTTGATCTATCGAACTCGCAATGACAGATTGTGTCTTGCTGATTCTGATTATTTCTCTGAATGGTGGGAACTTCCCTCTGCGTTTGTCATTCACAAGACGACACAAACCGTAAGCGCGTCCTGGAGTCCACAGGATGATTTAGGTGTCAGCTCAGCATCGGCGGACGGTGCGCAGGTGAGTGGGCGAGACGAGCGCCGATGCGTCCTCGCTACTGTCAGGATGACCAGAGCCAGTGGGATACACGTGGACAGACCTGAACAGTAGCCACAGCTCAGCAGAAGAACACATGGGTCAGTGACTCCGCCTGTGCGGGAAGGAACTCCTTTGTGGGTGACTCTGGGAAAAATCTGGCAGGAGAAACAGATAAATGAAACATTTCCTCTGACCTCAAGAAAGTTACAATCTGGAGGGGGGAAAAAATCATTGATTCCATAAAAGTGAAACAATAAGACGGGGAAAGAGCCAGAGCCGAGCATTGTGAGGTGAAGAGCCACCGCTCTGAGTCCCTGGATGAGACTTCATTCGAAGGACAAACGGCGCCGGGTGAGGGGCCTGGATGTGGGCCAGCCAAGGACACAGCATGCAGAGTCTTCTTATGTTTCATTTCGTGAGAGCCTGAGTCGGGTGTTACATTGTGAAATCAGAGAATGGATTGCCATGGGCAGCACAGGGACCCCAGAGTCCCCCGTGCCCAAAACAACCAGTGAATTGCAACATCGTGTTATTGCAAGGACGTCAGACGTGGTGGGGAGGGAGGAAAATGAATGAGGATCATTTTCAGCATTTCTGTCGATTTAAATCCAGAACTGTATTTGTATTTATGTTTCAGGATACCGGAATAATATTTATCTACAGGTTCTTTTTGCCTTCCTGGTATAGTATGTTCCCAGATAAAGGTGATGACGTAGCATCAGATGTTACATTATGGAGTGTGACAAGTATGAGCACACTGGGGGGGGTTGAATAATTCAGCATGTATTTTTAAGTTCGTTTCTATGCATGCATATATTTATACATATTGTTTTGATCTCAATTATTTGTGAGTATCTGATTATTCTGAGAAACTAAGTGATCTAGGAACATACAGAAAAATATTAGGTCCATTGAAAATTATGAGAAATCAATTCCATGAGGAGAAT